GGTTAATAGCGATATACTAATATACTAATTACATGGGATATAATAATATACTACACTAATAATGGATTTTTTCATACTTTTCGGTTATCCGACTTTTCAATTATCCGACCAACCCCAGTCCCCAATTAGGGCGGATAATCGAGGTTCTACTGTAGCATTATTCGGAGACTATTAATATACGTGACATTATGTTATAGTCTATTCTAAACGGAATGATCTACATATATGCTTTGAATTAAAGATTTGGAAAAAACTATAATTTAACTATTATTGTAAACTGGCAGTTAAACTAATTCAATTAAATTTCGTTTTCATTCCGTACTTACATACAGGTAGGCCTCCTACAACGCGGTAGATACGTCCTTAAAAATACCGCGTTGTGGGAAATCACGTTATAGGAGACACCAACTTAATACAAAAACTGGGATTCGGTTCTAAAAAGAAAAAAACTTGGCGTTTGAATGGCGTTTTTTGAATTTTTCAAACCAGCCATTGCTAGCCACGAATTTAACACTGGTTTCATCAGCTGACGACTGTCCCATTTGTTTTAAATAATCAAATAATTTTAAGGTTTTAAGTGCAGTTTTATTTAAAGGCAACCGTTTCTTGTTCATATCTTCTACCCATAATATTAGCGCTTATTCCATTTTTACCATTATAGGTGCTCTCGGACGAGCAACATTTTTCGCAAGAATAGATGATCCGGATGCGACCAAATTTTTGATCTTTTATCCTGACCGAATCGTCGACTCATTTAAATTAAAATGCCTACCGATATCAGCTATCCGCTCTTGATATTTAATTCGATCCAAAATTTCTATCTTTTTTGAAGATTTATAAATTTCCTTTTTAACGATGGTCCTTTCTCTTCATTCGGCATTGTTATGGCTAAAATTTTATCAATCAGTTTTGTGGACAGTAAAAATCGCAAAAAATAACTTCCTTTCACTATGTTGTTAAAAATATACATCCAATAGAAGTTTATACTGTATTTTGGACCATTTTTGTGGTCCCCACTTATTGAAAGAGTATAAATGATCGAAAATTTAGTGATATATTTGAGTGTTTACGGTAACTGATGCACATCTGTCTAGAAACCGGTCTTTCCCTGAAACTTTCAAGGGAATAACATGCCAACGTCCACAAACAGCTGTTTTCAAAGACTTTTAGCTCAGTATGTTGAACTGTGGCTTGTATCACGTGATATGTTGCGATTTTTCTGTTATGTGAAGATAATTTGTTTCTAAATACTGTAAACTGCATTGTAAAAGTACCATGTTGTAAGAAAATTTCCACATTTTTCCAACCGTGTTGGAGTGAAAACACGTTGTAAAGGTACCGCGTTGTAGGAGGCCTACCTGTATATACATATTTAATATCATTGTAAAAAATTTATATAATACAGTAACAGATATTAACAAAACTTAATATCTTTTTATGTTTAGAATATAGCACTTCATCCAAAATCAATTTTAAAATTATCTTTAAATTTATATTAAGAAATTAATGTTGATCTTCTAATATTGTAAATAAGCCTATTTATTCTATTTTAATACTATAAATTAATTCTTAAAGATGAACAAATTATGTATGAAAACATTTGAATTAAAATAAAAACTGAGTTTGTTAAACTAGGATCTTCATAAAATGGCTTAAAAGTAAAAACATATTTTCATTTTTGGCATATTTTCTTAAATACATCTACTTAATATTTCTCATATAAAAATACTATTAATTTACCATTTCCAATATATTTCACCATTGATTGAGTTTTAAATATTTCTTTTGAAATAAATAATGCATCTTCTCCATATAAAGAATAATAATCCTGCAAAATGAATGGAAAAACTATAAATAACATACTAATTATGATAAATTTACTTTTATTGTAATAAAATTTATATAATGCATTTAATATATACCATTTTTTAAAATAATTTATAAATAGTTATAATAAATCTGCCAAGTATATAAAAATTAATTTTTAAATAATTCTTCTGTTCTTAGCTATTTGTAATAGTTTAAATTGAGCATGATATTAACATAAAAACTAATCATTAGTTTGCTATTTCTATTGAAATAGCTGATTATTTGAATGAAAATATAATGAAATTCAAAGTTTAGTGATCTATAGCTCATGCTTTTATTTCACTATTAATTGCTTTCCCACTGGACATGATTGTAATTCTTTTAAAAATTTATAGAGTAAAAATTCAGTCAATTAGGATCTTTCATAGTTGCCTGTAATGTAGTAATTGATTAATCATAATATGCAGGCTGCTTTTTTATCAAGCTTTGATAGTCCATAAAACAAAGACAAGTGTAAATAACAAAATGAATTTATTACCAAAAGTTGGGTACAAACATGGTTACTTTTTGACATAATCACCGTGAAGATTGAGGAATTTGTCATATCTGTGGATGAGCTTTTCCATCCCTTTACCATAGAATGTTGCTACCAATAACTTGAGATTGACCCTAACTTTTTTGAAGATTGTCATTAGTCTCGAACCTCTGCCCTCCTAGCCACTTTTCCAGTTTAGGAAATAGATGGAAGTCGATTAGCACTAAATTGGAGCTATACACTGGGTATTTAAAGGTGGTGAAGACTTCCATCTTTTTCCTGAACTGTAAATGTGGCTAGCAGGACAGAGGTTTGAGACTTATGAACTAATGATGATCTTCAAAACAATGTTGTTAAGGCCATGTCAATTCACTGGCAGCAAAATTCTATGACGAGGAGATGAAAAGCTCGTCCACAGATATGACAAATTCCTCAATCTTTACGGTGATTATGTCAAAAAGTAACCATGTTTGTACCCAACTTTTGGTAATAAATTCATTTTGTTATTTACACTTGTCTTTGTTTTATAGACCATAGGAGCTTGAAAAAAAAAAACAGTCCTTGTACTTTAAAATCAAAAGATATCCATACATGTTTACAATAAAAACAATCATATTCACATTCAAATCTGTATGATGATTATTTGAATAAGTTGTAAAATTTCATGAATAATATGAAAGTAAATCTGTTTTATAAGTGAATATAGATGAGTAGAAAAGAAAATTAGACAGAAAACAAACTGCTACATAATATTTTTATACAAAACAGGAATCTTTTTAATTATAACACTACTGCACCTGATTTACTCTATGATTATTCTTTCAAGCAATTTGCAGAATATATAATTATAAAGTCAACACACCTTACTACTGAGAAAGCACATTTATTAAGCTAAACAAACGTTTTCAACCCATTTCATGGGCCATCATCAGGTTAAAGACGTTCGAATGAATGGCTTTTCGAACACGTTCAAATTTAAATTATGTTAGAACATACGTTAAAATAAGATTACGTAAACAAGCATAACGAAATTAATACAATAAACAAGAAACAAAATAAAATACAAAATATGGTAATTCTCCTTAATACAATATGTAATTAAGGAGAATTACCGTGTTTTGTATTTTATTTTGTTTCTTGTTTATTGTATTAATTTCGTTATGCTTGTTTACGTAATCTTATTTTAACGTATGTTCTAACATAATTTAAATTTGAACGTGTTCGAAAAGCCATTCATTCGAACGTCTTTAACCTGATGATGGCCCATGAAATGGGTTGAAAACGTTTGTTTAGCTTAATAAATGTGCTTTCTCAGTAGTAAGGTGTGTTGACTTTATAATGNAAAAAAAAATATATAGAAGAATAAAAATCAACTTTAAGTCATTTTATTTGACTTTACACCTGTCCGCCACAAATATTGAAGTCGTAATATTACTAGAAAATTGTTAAAAGCACATAAAATCATATTAAAATACATACATTTACAGTAAATATTAATATAATCATCATAAATCGTAGAGAACGAAATATGAAAACATCTATAACTCTGTGTTGTCGTCTTATTTGGTGGTCTTATATATGGAAAATGCTCAATATTAGCATTTTCCACAGTAGTTTTAATATCTACTGTTTGATGTCATTGTTAGCGCCACTCGATATTGGTAAATTTAACATAAATTAGTTTATTTTTTACTATTGCAAAATAATTTTAATAACTGTATTTGTTATCTAACCTTACAAAATCATCTTATTTTATAATGTCTTAGAGCAAACCACATTCACAAATAAAGAGTCCGTGATGTACTATAAACATCGCCAAATTGTAAACATGTATATTTACAAGTATGTACTGTACGTACATACTGTACAGTACATGTATTCGTAAATTTAGATTACTTTTTTCCTATACTATATTAAAAACTAAAATTTATTTGTTTGTAAGCTTAAAATAGATTCTTATTAACCATATACAGTATATTATATGTGTGTAATATAATNAAATCATATTAAAATACATACATTTACAGTAAATGTTAATATAATCATCATAAATCGTAGAGAACGAAATATGAAAACATCTGTGACTCTGTGTTGTCGTCTTATTTGGTGGTCTTATATGTGGAAAATGCCCAATATTAGCATTTTTCACAGTAGTTTTAATATCTACTGTTTGGTGTCATTGTTAGCGCCACTCAATATTGGTAAATTTAACATAAATTAGTTTATTTTTTACTATTGCAAAATAATTTTAATAACTGTATTTGGTATCTAACCTTACAAAATCATCTTATTTTATAATGTCTTAGAGCAAACCATATTCACAAATAAAGAGTCCGCGATGTACTGTAAACATCGCCAAATTGTAAACATGTATATTTACAAGTACATACATACTGTACATGTATTCGTAAATTTAGATTACTTTTTTTCCTATACTATATTAAAAACTAAAATTTATTTGTTTGTAAGCTTAAAATAGATTCTTATTAACCATATACAGTATATTATATGTGTGTTATATAATATTTTTAATATTTTTCATAAAAAGAAAAATAATCTTTGATTTTTTAAAACAATACTTAAACTTTTTACTACACAGTTTTAAATAATGTTTAAACATAGCTGCTACTATGTTTACCTTTAAAATATACTTTAACAACTTACTTTTAGTAGTCTTTGCTCCAAGTAGATTACTCTTGACTTTTTAGTTTTATGTTACAATAAATAACAATTTTGAATTGTCAACTACTAGAAAATAAGCTTAAACTTAATATTTAACAAAAAAATATTTTATCATATAATAAAATGCATGCAGTCTACAGCAACTGTCACATGTGCTGTAGCACTTTGAAAATGGTAACTTTCTGTAGCAGTGTCTTTACATTTGAATTATACATGTAGCAACACAAGCATGTTGGTAGGATTGAGTTCATTGGGACAATTCAATAAACTTATTCCTATCACATGACATCCTGAACATGTTTGTATTGCTACATATAAAATTCAAGAGTTGAGACTAAGGACTCAATGTGGTAAATTTGAAGTAGTTCTACTGTGATAAGTTGAAATGTGCTTTCTATAAAGAAATAATGCAGTAACACATTTTATCCAAAATTTAAGTATGACATGTAACAATAAATAAAAATAAGAACTGATTATATAATTTCATTTGAAACATTCCCTGATTCTCCATACCAATTTTCATTTCCTTGAATTTCCAAAGTATGCATATTGTTAAGAATGATTTAGAAGAAAGATATGAATTCATTTTCTTTGAAATATATTGCTGTGAACCATAAAGTACATAGTACATATGTTGACAAATGTTAAACTTTTTTTTGAATAAAGACTGAACTTCTCTTATATAAAAATATATTATAACTAAATATTTATCAAGAAACTAAGCTCCTTGTTTTATACCTGGAGTATACAATGGCCCACAATTTTGAGATTTATGTTTTCCACATGCTGGTATATACAGTATTACCATTAAATTAATATCATTGACAATATTATTTCTGATTGATTATAATTATTATTCAAAATTTTTTCTTGAACTGATTCTTATTAATTTTCTTACTACTTTCAAATATTTAATAACACAGATTAATTAATAATTATGTAAAATAATAGAAATAATATTTTTCAAGTATTTGATGTTAGAAGAAAATTTAATGAATCATTCTATCATTACTTCTATATTGCTTATAATTAGAATGAATATTAATAGAACAATTCAATAAAAAATATCTATTAATAAATAAATGCTTAAATACAATTAACTATATGGAAAGTTATGTAGAAATAGAATTTGTTTTAAATTGTAATCTGAAATCATTACCTTTTGCTGATTATTATCCACTGTCAATTTAATTGCCAAGACTCCTTTTGCTTGTATATCTTCAGATATCTCATCGTTGGAAAATAAAATGTCTTCAATTTGTGTTAAATTACCTGGTGATGCCTATTTGATTTAAATATATCTTAAATAATTTAAATTTAGTAGTATTAATTTAAACATTTTAAAATAATTTTTGTACCTTGCAAATTATCTGCCAATCATTTCCTTTTCCAGATGCTAAATTTTTATAAATTTCTATTCTATATTGCTTTATAGATAATAAATCTCTTAACTGAACTTCAAATTTTGATTTACTCAACCATAAATAAGGAGTTTTCTCTAAATTAGAAAAAAATTATTATTATTTTATAAAATTTTATCAAGCAGTCAATAATAAATAATATATCAATTTATTTTCTAAGCTGTATTAAATATAAGGTGTCTCAGAAGAATAGGTCAATATTCTGGGATGTGAAAGAATAGGCTATTTTAAGCAAAAATGTTAATGTAAGAATATGCTCTACTCCAAATGGTTTCTGAGATAGAGGCATTTGAATATTTAATTTTTCACATGACAAATTTCCAATAGTTTATAATAAATTTTCAAAAATATCACTGTCAACTTCAATGCATTTTTCTATTC